GAGAGAGAGAGAGAAAACTCGTGGCGGTTTGAAAATGGGTCTAAACTCCCCCGCAAAGCGGGGTTTTCCGGCGAATTTGGAAAATCAGGGGAACGAGAACGGACAAATGCGCGGCCGGTTCCGTCCAGTTTTCAACGAATGGGACGCGTGGTTGGATAAACATCGTTGGCGGGCGGGCGGGGGAGGGGGGAGGGGGTGGGGAGGGTCGCCTAGGTAAGAAAACCAGATCGTTTTCGAATCATATTCAAAGGAACATCTGGGCCGTTTCGTAGAAAATTACTTACATTCCACGAATTTCTTCTACGCTTCTTTTCCCAAATATATAAGAGATTTTCTACTTCTAAAAAAATTAAATAAATAGAACACGCGAGTTTCCTTTTTATCGCTATCGCTCCAACGACCCTGCGATTGGGGAAGACGTCGTAGATGTTGATGTCGTGGATGTCGAGAAATCGGTGAATCGAAGAAGAAAAAGGAAGGAAAGAGAGAGAGAGAGAGAGGAGAAAATCGGGCGAAACCGTGAATTAGGCAGCTGGCAGGAACAATGACGGGGAACGGAGAGCGAAGGGTTGCGTTCGTTTAATACACGGTTAAATGCGAATTGTCGTGGGCGCGTGCAACCACATCCTGTGCAATTTTTGTCACGCTTGCTACGCTCTTTTTTTCAATTTCTCTCGTTTCTTCGACGCCCACGAAATGAGAGAGGGTTGCGAAATCGCAACCACCACGAATTTTTTCGATGAAAAAAATCAGGGGGGCCGGTAAGGATCGAACGATTACGGGCTCACCTTGCCGTTGCAACCGCTCTCGTACGCACGAGACGATAATAATAACGAGAGACTCCCCCTCCCCCCTCCCCCCTCCCTCCCTTCTCTATCGTGATCGAAACGAAGAGACGAAAAAAATACGAATTGGAAGATATACCGTGATCAGAATTGAATAGAAGTATCGTAGAAAAATGTAACGTTTGCTTGCTTATCACATTATATCGCGTTATATACTTGTTGTTAAACGTATCTTATTGTTTAGTTCAATTTTTACATTTAACTTAATTGTTTGTATCGTCGCGTGAGTTTATACCAACGCCGCCGTGACTCGCGTTTAATTTTTGAATATCGATTTATATCGAGATATCCGTATTTTTTTTTATGGCAATATTTAATTGATTGTTTTTTCCATATATATATCATTAAAATAGTAGCATTGTTAATTAGAGAGATGTAGAGATGTCGTGTATGTAAATGCGTATAATTTTTAGATATATAGATAGATTAATTTAATCTAATTAATCTTTTTCCGGGAACGGTAAACGAAAGCAATAAGATAAGTTTAGAGTTAATTCTAAGGAATTTCTAAGAGAGCGAAAAAGAATTATACTCGATCGAATTATTTGAAAAAGATAGTACATTCACGAATGCGGTATATATCGATCGATTGAAGTAATATTTTTATCTAATTTCTATCTGGGAACGAATGATAACGTTGGAAAAAAAAAAAAAAAGTATAAAGCGATTTCTATCGTCCATCGCGCATCATACGCGTTTCCCCCTCATTTTCAACCTCCTTCTATCGAACTATATTTTAACGATATTTTCGCGAGTGATTCGAGTTATTACAATTTCATAAAAGAGTGAGAATAATTAGCGTGAGAGAAACATGAATCGTGGAAACGTACGACTTTTACTTTTAATCGTTATCGGTGAGTTTAGAATTGAAATTTATACAAGAAAAATTTGTCAAATTCGGATCGAGTATTGAATATACATACGAAATTTCAGCGTTATCCGTTAACGGAACAAAAATGAAAAATGTCTGGCCATCGTTAATGGTGAACGAAGATGAGAGTAAACTGGACAATTTCTCATACGTTGTTAACGACAGAGGTCAATCGTGCATTTTGGCAAACATGTCGATTAATTTCGCGATGGTATGATAAGATGGCAAGAATTAAATACAAAAGAATTATCGATTATCGATTAATGCAAACAATAAATATTTCTATCTCAGGAAAATAAAACTTTCAATGTTCCAAATAATGCTACGGTGCATGGCCATTGTTCATCCGTAGTATCTGAAATGACATTGAGTTGGAAACATGAAAAAACCGATAAAAATAACACGATTAAATTTACGTTCATCAATGATCACACCAATTTCACGGTTTTCTCAATCGAGCTTAATATTTATAAGGACAAAGACAATTTTCCAAATGGTGAAAAGCAAAACGTTCATAACATTTTAAATAATTCTTCTCCCTCTTATTTCGTTACGTCGTATTTTTTAATTTTTACTTTTTTTCTTTTTCTTTTTCTTACGAATACAATGTAATTTTTAGACGGAGATAAATGGTTTGCAGCAAAATCAGATTTGGACCTCCACTTATTCCCTGCATTCTCGAGGAACGGAACTCATAAGTGCGACGAAGAAACAAAAGTGAAATTGAATGGCGTTGAATTAATTGTGAAAAACGTTATATTGATCGCGTTCAATAACAAAAACGATATTTCCTCGCGTAAAGGTGAATTAATAACTATAACACGTTATCCTGTATTTCGCATAACGAATAAATTGTCGTACATCGTTCGACGATGAGGCGAAAATTAGAAATTTAGATAGATAAGAAACATTTACGAACTTGCAGAAGTGACAAAGTGCATAAAAGACGGTGACAAAACTTTCCCTTACGTTGCAAAATGGAAGAATAAGACAATTTGCGGCCTGTTCAGAACGTCGGTTACTGTACAGATGTCGTATATGACAAAGGATTTGAAGGTAAAAAAAAAAAAAAATGTAAAACTTGTTAAAACGCTCCTATATTTGGGTCTATCTGAAAATTAATCGTACACCTTTCCGTTTTCAGACGCAAAATGTGAATATAACAGTTCCAACGAGAACTAACGCAATAGAATCTTGCACGACCGACACATTTTACGCACAATTAGTTTGGAGCTCGAAAGAATCGAACGAATCGAAAAATTCAATTTTCTTTTATTTTTCCAAATTAGAGAAAAATTTGCTTCGTCACGTAATAATCAACATTTTTATGGATAAAGAAAATTTCCCGAATGCTATAAGTATGCGTTTAAATTTTACATGTATAATTAAACACGAATAAATCCTCGTTTTTATCCTCGTTATCATTAAACGATAAAAATATTAGATGCAGATAAAAATGTAACAGCTATGAAGTCAACTGATTTGTTCCCCACACCCTTAAACGGAATTTATAGTTGCACGGAAGAAATGGCAATAACGACGGGAAACGACGTGAACGTTACGATAAACGATATTCTGTTGATCCCATTCGACGTGGAAAATAATTTAATGTCGAGAAAGGGTAAAACGTTTCTATCATTATTGGTATAATTATTATAATTAATAAATATGAAAATTACGAAAAGTAGGAAAGGAGAAAGAAACAAATTTTTGCTGTTTCAGTGGCTGATTGTAAAATCAACATCTCTGAATACGATTTTGACTACGTTGTACGGAACAAAGAAACAAATATACCTTGTATTTTGGCGAGCATGAACATATCAATTGATACGAATAATTCGGAAGTAAGATCGAATACGATCACGAATTATAATATAAATTTGTTTCGTTGTTGCTCTAACGATATAATATAATACATTTTTATCATAGAATAAGAATGAAGATGCGATAATTGTCCCGTCTGAAATTAATTCAAATGGAAATTGCGACGCTAAGAGGTCTGAAATGGAGCTATTCTGGACAAAAAAATCGAAGGAAGGGAAGAATTTGACGGATAATGTTATATTTTATATCGCTCGCGATAAAACTGGTTTCTTCGTTTATCAAATAGAGGCCAATATTTACGGGGGTAAGTTTAAAATTTAACATTTCAATATCAAGATTATTGTGATTCTTATCTATTATTTTGTCAATCGCGATTAATTCAAGATAAGGACACGCGTTTACACAAAATGTCAGACTTCGGCCTCGATCTGTTTTCAACATCCGGGATTTACAATTGCACGGATCATAATTGGGGGATAAAGCTCGAAGACATCGTGCTTAACATAAACAACGTCCTTTTCACCGCATTCAACACCGATGAAAATCTTAATTCGAAAATAGGTAAACGCATCGATATTAATCCCCACCATTTTTTTTTTTTTATTTTCTTTCGGCAAACATATCTTGTTTCTTATCAAAATTCAAGAGAGTAGAAAATGCGACGACTTTTCGATTGTTTGAACAGTGACAGATTGTTCGACGAATCCAGAATCCACAACAACTGAAACAAAACCGACAACCGAAGAATCACCGACAACACTCGAACCAGATCCCTACGCGACCGAGTTTAATTACGTGGTGATAAACGAGAAAACACACGTGGCTTGTATCGCAGCAAAGATGACGATTTTTATGAAAATACCTTACGAGACGAAAGAATCTCGAGTACGTATATATCTCTTCGAACGATCTTCGACATTACTCGGTGCACACACAATTTTCAGTATACCATACCACGCTCCAATCATATATATATATATATATATATATATAAATCATATTTATTTCTATCCGATTAATCTTGATCCCGATTTTTAGACGAACGAAACGATTTTAACGATACCGGCGAATAGCGCGGTATCCGGAAATTGTGGAAACATAAGTTCGATGAAGTTAACCTGGCTGGAAAAATCAGAATCGTATAACGCGTACGCGTCTCGTGATTCAATGTACGAGAACAAGAAAAATAATTCGTTTGCGATTAATTTTCAAAAGGATCAATCAAAGTATTTCGTCCAATCCATCGCGTTGGACATTTACTTGGATAAAACAAATTTTCCCGATTCTAAGGGTAAGACAATTTCGTTCGATTCAAAATTTGTAAAATTTGTATTTAGGGGAATAATAATGATCTGATAATTGTTGTTATTATTATTATTATTATTATTTTTTTTTTTAATTTTAGAAGAGAGATACACCGCCGTCGAAAATATCGAAATACTTTCCGCTCCTTTGAACAATCTCTACAAATGCGACGAAAACATCTCTTTATCAGTACCTGTGCACAATGTTAAAAGTAATATCGACGTGACCATCGCTAACGCCACTTTGATCGCGTTCAACAGCAAGAAGAAGGTGGCCACGAGTTCGGGTAAACATCATTTATTAAATTTCAATCGATATATTTTATCGATACTTCACTAATTCAGATTTAACGATTACGTTTGATTTTTCTTTTCTTTTTTTTTTTTCAGTAATGTGTATTCAGGATTCAAGTTCTAACGTTGGATTAATAATAGGATGTATCATCGGAGGTATTATGATCCTCGGTATATCCGGCTTGTTGATGTATCTATATTTCTTCGAATGTTTTTCGTGTTCTAATTTCTCGAGGTCGCGATAATACGAGTCGTTTCTTTGAACGTGGCACAAGTCCATTTTTAAAATAAGTTAACGGGTAGGTTTGATCAAATATGGATGGATCTTTTTTTTATATTTACAATCGCACGCAGTCAATGGTGTACGATATCCTTATAAATTGATAAAAGAAAAAAATATTATAGTAAGAATTTTTGTGGAATAAGTCGAATTATAATGATTGAGAAATAAGATTGAAAGAATTGATTGATGCGAATAAGTTTCCCACTTATCTAACGAATTTTCGTATTCGTTTGTTTACAAATTCATTACGATTAACAGTCTTTATTTTTCTACATTGAAAAAAATACATTTCGAATATATTGCCAACGCTTGAATCAAAATATAAATTAAAAATTGGTTAAATATTTCTCACGTAAATCTTATTATTAACGAAAAAGTGGCACAATATCGCGTTTGTTGTAAAAAAAAATCGTTCGTTTTCTTTAACATTTTTTTATTAATTACAATTGCGCAATAAAAATTTAACAAGTTTATAGTTTTGCATACAGTACACCATTTTCTCTACCTTAATTCAAACCCTTAAATATCTCAACGTATGAATAAATGAATTCACTTTCAACAACAACCACTTACATACATTAAAATGTACATAGATATATTCGAACGAAATATATCCTGCTATCCTTACACATGGTGCTGGGAAAGTGGCTGTATATTCGTGTTAATTGTCCCGTTTCAGGGAACAATTCGATGCTTCGACCACCCTTCGTGCTTCCGTCACGGTTACGCCCACCCTCCCCCATTATTGTTTATTTTATCCGTATTCCGATATGCGTGTGAACCCCGACGAATCGATTTCAATGCAAAATCGGAAAAATTGCTCGACACAGTTGGGAACAGAAGAATTAATTAAATTAAGAATATTTTATTATTCTATTACATTTTGTACCGTCCCTTCATACGTAAAAAAAGTAAGTTAGTAGATGATTATCTGTGGCTATGAACGAGGAAAAATTTCGTTTTCAAACCCCAAGAGAATTTATTAAACCGGAAGTAACATCAAAATGCCGGATACCACCCCTTCGTTTCGGATATCGTCGTTGCGGATAACAGATGCCGCAATAAAATCCACGATAATCGGTTAATTCATCTAAGGGAGGATGTTTGCGTCGAATCGATCAAAATTTTTATTATCCGCGAGAATAATAAACGGCAATTAGAAAAATATTACTCGTCCACGTTGTATCATTTTGCATTCGATTGCAATTTGTCGTGGAAAATAATCGATAATCGTTTCTCTCACGGTATCGAGCAATTAGTTTTGGCTCATTGGTTGCCAACAATCTCAAAAACCGATTAAATCACGCTTTTCGTTTCGATCGATATTCAATTAATAAAGATGTTCGATTAATAAAGAATTGTTATTAAACATATTTATAAATATTTTTTTCTTTTCCTCCCCGACCGTAAAATTTTACTTTCAATTATTATCATTATTACAATTGGTACGAAACGTCGATCGAATCGAATTGTTTCCCTTCTCCGTTTCCCAACATTTTTCCAAAAAAATGTTCTCCTTCCGAAATACAAGAATGTAATTTCCAAGGTGTTCAGAATTTACCATACCTGCTCACGTTCAAAACGCGTCAGCTGTTCAAGGGGTCTCTTTAAAGTTTAAAGGTCCTGGAAACCCTATTATACACCTCGCTCCTTGAGCCGGGTCGTCTTTTATGATGTCGCACGGATCGTAACGTAGCGCCCATGGAAAAGCACCCACCTTTTTTGCCGGGACGGCAAGTTTCATGGGAAAATGGGGAGGATTTTTCTCCAATGCCGGCAAGTGTTCCTTTCACCTTGTATTATACGTAATCGTGCTTCGATCATCGCCAACTCTACAATTACAATCTTTCGTGGATATGGGAACACATGTAAGTACATCGGTGGAACGCACAAGCTTGAAATCTAAACGATCACGAATAACTTGCTCGATAGATAATTTATCCAGAAAGGTTAATTAATTTATTTATTTATGCGTGATCGACGTGTCATCGTCATATTCGATTCGCAATTTGTCGTTGCAAGGGGATCAAGCTCGTACGGAATAAAGAAAATTTGGGTCGTACTAAGCTCGATAATGGGTCCAATTTGAATTTCTTACCACTGTTACCACGCTCGATGCCGGCCCCAGACAGGATCCCGATATCGATAAATCTTGAAGGTCCAAAGGAGCGGGCACGCGTGCCAGAAGGATCAGCCACGTGGCTGCATCTTCCTTCCAAGAACGATTTGTGTTTTAACCGAAACTGCTCTTCGTCCACAACCGGCTCCTCTTTCGTACCGTTCCACAACCGATGTTGGATCGCCCGATTTTTCCATCCTGTGCTTTCTTTCTCGTATAAAAAAGGAAAAAAAAAAAAAGGTTTCGATTTAATCCGTGGATCAAAGGAATCGAGATCTGTTTCGTAATCGATCTCGCGACACTTGCGTTGACGTTGTAACGAATTTGACGTTGAAAGAGAAACAGGGAGGAGAGAGAGAGGGGGAGAGGGAGAGGGAGAAAAAAAGGAACGCGAAACGACAGTTCAACCGACAGTTTTTGAAAACTTGCACAGGCTTTCTTCCTCCTCCTTTTTTCCCCTCTGGTCTGAAGAAGAGCAGCATCGGCCGCAAGACGTTTTGGAAGTATGAGGGCGCAGATGGGATTGTGTTTAATGAAGTTTGGCCCGAGTTGCACCTGCCACTTTCGAGGCATCTCGGACCGGCGGCCGTTACATCGCCTCGAGCACAATTTAAGAAATTGGCGGGAACCTCGTTCCCAGATTCGATCCTCCTCGATATCTTCGATTCCTCTCTTTCACTCTCTTGTTTTCGTCAATGCGAAATCCTTAACGCTTCGCGAAATCTTTATATCCTCGATGAAATAAATGATAAATCGGAGAAAAGAAAGAAAGAAAAAAGGAAAGAACAAATCCCTTGTCGGGATTCGATTTCTTTGGATCGATGAACAACCCCCCTCCCCGACGTGTGTAGCCTTTTCCAACCATCGGACGGACGTGTCCTTCCTGTTGGACCAGATAGGCGGAAGTTCGGCCGATGATTTAATCGCCTTCCAACATCTGTTCATCGCGATGATTTTAACCTTCAAAGTAAATACTCGATTTGCGAAAACGTGAAAAAAGGAGAAATTTAACACGACTTAATCGAGCTTCCTTTCTTCCCTTGTTCGCGTGACGCCTTTTCGAGGACGCTGGTGTTCGAGGATGATGCCTGGAGGGCTGCCATCCGTCAAGCAAACGTGAAAGCTTGCGCTCCTGTTTGCGGCGATTTAATTACCCCGGGCATCTGGCGATCCCTCTTCCAGCTTCCCTTCTCTCTCTCTCTCTCTCTTCTCTCTTCCTTTTCCATCCACCCACGAGCCCCCAACCAACCAAACCGCCGACATAACCGCAGCCTTTTATAAAACTAACGGATACAAAAGGATTTAAAAGGATGCATCGAGTGTAATACGTGGTATGATTCGAGGCTTCGAAGAAGAAGAAGAAGAAGAAGAAGAAGAAAAAAGAACAGCCGCGTAGCAAATTTTAAACGAAACGGTGAAAAACGGATGGCGCGAGGATAACGAGTTGTAGGAAAAATCTGTGGAATCGAAGAGAATTAAAGAGAGGTGGGTAGTGATAAAGAAGAAAAAAGTATCGGTTCGGGAGTGTTTCTAAGCGGCTAACAGCTGTTCCACCCCCTCCTGGTCTCTTCTGGGAGATCTGCTTATATTCGGTCTATCTGAAGGAACTATCGTGCGGAGGTGGTTTCGAGAGGGCAACGAAGGTAGGTAGCTGGAGCAGCTGGATCGGCAAGGACTCGAAAAATCTCTCGGTCACGCCTTCTCCCCATATTGTATTCGTATCTAATGTTGTTCTCTTTCGCTGTCTGAAGAGAGAGAGAAAAGAAAGAAAGAGAGAAAGGAAAAAGAGATCTCGACGAGGATAAATTCGTTTCGTTCCGGCAGAAAGGAAATTATCCGAACGATCCCTAATTCCGAATATTGCACGCAAAATAACTGGATCCGTCTCTTGTCTTTCTATCCATCGTCGAGCTTCTCGAATCTTTCGAACGAGTTCGAATTGTTTCCTGTGTCTATCGCGGGGGAAACTTGTACCTTGTTCACCTTGAATATTAAAGGGGGGGGGGAAAAAGAAAGAAAGAAAGAAGAAAAAGTAGAACAGAAATTAAAGGCTTATCTGTGAAATTTCTTGCCCCGATCCGGCCCGTTTACAGCTCGTAAAATAAATAAAGCACGCACGAAATGTCACGAAAACGGACGTCTTGCCAACGGACGCCATTCTCCCCACCCCTTTTTAATTCGATCGCACGAAAAGTTAATGCCGGGAAATGAATGAAACACGACGTTGCACGCACGTTTTACAAAGTGGAGAGGAACATCCTGTGTTAAACGCTCCATCCTCCTTCTTCTCCACGGTTCGGTTGCACGCACGGATAAACTGCGCCCAATTAACTCAATTATTCGCGATCGTTCTCGTGAAACGCGCCTACTTATATAACCATCGATACTCTGGTCAGGTAATTGTCGCCAGAGTTTACGGTATTACACGGAGATATGTTCGAAAGGTTTCGTTTTCTCGAGAGCGAAGTAAGAAAAAAAAAAAAAAAGATGTCTTTTTACCTTTTCTTTCTTCCTTTCTTCCATTCTCGCGTCTCGAGACGCCAGAAGACCTTTTCCCCTCGGCCCGATGATTGAATATTTTTCGTTGGCGTGTGCCGTTTACGCTTCATTCCCTCGAAATTCCAGAATTTCCAGAGCATCTGCATCCGAAGCAGCTGGCCGCGCCACCCCCTTCGCTTATCCTTTCGTTCTGTGAAGCGCGCGACGCACGACATCTCTCCATCTGGTTATTATCATTATCATTATTATTATTATTATTATTATTATACATGAAAACGAAGATTTCACAGGATTTTTCACGAACGAACGAAGAAAAATATCCCATACGGAATATTCCCGTGAGAATGAGGAAGA